ACTGGAACTCTGTGTTTGGGAGCGCTGGGGGAGTTGGAGGTTGGGTAATGAACCATCCGGCCCTTTTTCAGCTCTTCCCGCCCCTACACAAAGCAGCGATGGGCAAGATTTTTTTACGGGTGTTAAAATCCTAGGGTTATTGACATTATAAACTGAAAAAATAACTCCCCGCCTGGAAGGAATAAACCAAAAAAGCTTTTCCAACCATTGGGTGATAATCGTCCACGATCCGCCTGGATTGTGGGGGAGGGAAACGAGCCCGATATAAAACCCCCCTTAAACACTAGACATCCCAATACCAGGAAATTGTCAACCCGAGGGGTTAAAAACCCATGGATTCCTGAACCAGAGGAAATCCCCCAAGAAAATAAAGGTGGGTAAGATGGATACCTGGAAATAATCCCAGATGAAGATCCCTGATGAGAAATGTGGTAAATTTGAGGTGGATCCCCACTTGAAAATAAGTAAATAAAACCACAAGGCTCCCCCAAAAACCAATATCAGACAATAACTCTTACCCCCAACAGAACTCAAAGTTTTAAGGAAGCCAAACAAAGTCCCACCTTCCCGGGGGGGCCCCCCATCCCTTTTTTCATACTTCCCACTGAATTGGAGCGGCCCTGGCCGGGCCCCCCCACCTTTTTCATATGATTAACTGTATAGTTGAATAGGCGGTGGTTTAAGCCCGGTTTTTGCCCATTCGGCGTCAAAGATAGGGGGCGTTTATAAACAAAAACGAGGAAACAAAGAAGAGTTTTTTTTTGGTTGAAGGAAGTCCCAACAGAGAATTTGTGAAGTAAATTGGAAAATTAAACCCCCTTTCCATGCATTGAAAGGAAGGCTTTCGAAACTGCCATCCCAAAACCCGAAAGAAGTTAATACCATGTTGGGGACCTTTTGGGTGTGGGGATAAATTAGGGGTCCGTCCCAAGGATTTAATAGTAGAGGAGGAAGTCCCAAATTGTTTCAAAGTCCAGCCATAGGATATGGGGTTACAGTTTCCCGCGTCCGTGGGCGTGTATTGGGGGGGTGTTTTTTGGATGTTGGACACCCCAATGGTGAGGGTTGAAAAAATTTGTGTTTTGGGGGAAGAGAAATATAAAAGACGCATGAAATTTAATTAAAACCCCGGAGAGGGAAATTGATGATCCGAATATATAACGGCACCAAGTTTATTGAAAAGGTTAAATTTTTTTTTGTTTTTTTGGTTTTTAATTTTTTAAATTTGGAGTTTAAATAAAAATGGTTGCACGCTTGTTAGTATATCCAGATGGATTTTTTTATAAAAAAGACACCAGGCAGTCAATCCGTTCGTACATTTTAGTTTCCAATTTCCAGATCAGAAGATGAGGATCAACTTGAGCTCAAATCCGTTGCTTCACTTTTTTGTTTTTAATCATATCTTGAAATTTACATAATATAATATAAAATATATTGATGTTTATCACGTTTTACATGTTATATAACAAAGTTTTATCAAGGCTTGTACTCAGATGTTGAAGATGCATTCGTTCGAAATTTGACAATTTTTTATCGGATTTGTGATATTTTATTATTTCGCTTGGTCGACATAATTGTTGCCGATTTGTTAGTTTATATTCTTATATATCATAGATTTCTTATTATAGAGTTTTTCAAACTGAAGTACAAACGTCTAGCGCAAGATTAAGTGGCACTTTTTCATTTTATCGAGTAAATCGAGAGAGGATAAATTATTGCAAACCTTTGGCACCTGAGGTTAATTTTTTGAATACCATATTCAGTAAATGTAATTAGCGTGGTGTTTTAAGTTATTTATTATTTATAAGCTGAATCAGCTCACTTCAACGTTAATTCTACAAAATGGTAAACAGTTAGCGAACAAAACTCCTCAAATCTAGAGCCAAATCATGACATGGTTTACATTTGTGTGAAGCCCTTTACAACAATACAGTGTCAAACAGCTTTTTGGTACATAGCCTTCATTTAATATGATTTATTTTTAAAAATTGACTAACAGACATTGTAGTCTTTTATTTCTATACCAATTTTGACATCCAGAAACAAGAATGACATGTAACTCTTACAAAGATCAGATGCAAACTGGGACCGGTGTTCTGTCTAATCTAAACAGAGCAACGAATAAAACATACTGATATTTCGTTGTACTGTAGTTGTAGGGGTTTCCTGGCGAATTCCAAAGGTGCATACAGCTTGTCATACTTTTAGTAGACCCGCCGAAACAGTGCGCGGTTCCCCCTGTATCGTAGAACGCTACACTTATAGTGAAACGCCCGTTGGGGGTCGCTACGATGTACAAGCCGGATCGTGACAAATAGGAGAGTTTGCGTTATAAAATTGAACTCCACTGGCACTATGCACTTCGCACTTGCTTCAATAACGTTGCCTGACCTGACACACGCGTGTCCTCCCCTCCACGATCCTGGGTAGGCCGGATGAATTCTCATTGATACATGGTTGTATAGTGTATATGTAATACCTCTTTTCGCGGCGAAAAAGGTTATACAAATATTAAAGACTGTCATTACGGGGCCGCGCTCAGCCTGTCATGCCGCCAAATCTTTATGCGTCACTAAAACTGAAAAAAAACGTACTGCTGTCTGTTAGATATTTAACTTCCAATAAGACACGTTTGCGTTACCTCTTATACCATATTTGGCAGTTTATGATGAAGTTTATCGTGACCTTGATAGTGCAGAGTGTTCAAATGCTTGATTAAGTCATAACATATAGAAGTACAGTGTAATTGGCTATGCCTTACCTGGTGGACCCTCAGGCTATCATGGTTCATTAACAATGAGACAGGCCTGAGCGCGGCCAGTAAGCTATGCCCCGTTCTTACATAGTTTAGCTCTTTCTAGTTTCCCCCTGCATGTAACAGGGATTGGCTAGTTAGAGGCGGGGGGTGCCCGTGTAGCCTTACACTGTGCTTTCAGCAATACTCATATAGCTATTATTTATTAACGGGTGTATTAACATAGCATGTTCCTACGCGTACTGCGTGACGCGCTTGTTTCACAAGTAGAATCTTTGCCTGCCGCCTTCGTGGTCGCGCGCTACCAAGAAACAACATTTTCAAGAAAAAAACAATTTATTTAGTATCAATTAAAGCAGAAAAAATATATTTTCATATATATATAACTAGCACAACGTTAGATCAGTATCTTAGGGGACTTGGAGTAGCAAGAGAATTTGACTATAAGGTATATCACTTTTACAACGATACTCGAAAGAATCCTAGGGTGATACAGGATCGGAGAGTGCAGACCAAAAGTTTACGCACCCACCCTTGCCCTCCGGAGTTCGTTGGTACCGGATATAAATTTATGCAAACTTGGTCGTTTATACTCAAGTCCCCTGTCTGTAAAAGAAGTAGTATTAACTATTTCTAGAGTGTAGCTTCGTTCAATAATAACAATATCAATATAATCAATATCAATACCAGATAAACCTACCGAATAAATAATTAAATGTCAATTAATTCATTCCGATAAAAAAATTTTATAAATTTAGATATTTAACTTATCTAAAAACATTACAACAAATGGTTAAAAAAGCGCCTAAAATCAATTTGAAAGATTTTCTGTCTATAGTACAATCATGATAGTAATAGTAAGTGTGTGCCGCTGGCAATTAGATTTTATTACTGCAATTTAAAATTGTTTGGAGTCCAAGTATCCTTTAAGTCAGGCTGCCTGCGCTTGTATTAATAGTGCTTTGGTTCTCAGTTTTATTAAGCTAATGGACGTTTCTAAGCAATTGCTTGAAGTTAATTTTTTTTTTAATGCACCTCCTCGCTACTTAGCCCTCTCGCTACTGGCAAGCGAGAGGGCTCTGGTTAGAGCAAGGCTCTGGTTAGAGCAAAACGGGTGATACTTGTAAAATATTCAATATTTGTTCCATATATCAGGACTGTCGGCGAGTCCCAACTCGGCGCGCGTCCTAGTAGGTAGAAACCTACAAATTTATTCATTATTATTTATCGTCTGTCGTTATTACCTGGGGACCTCAGGCTATCATGTTCATAAACATAAAGATTAGGCGGAATGACAGGCTGAGCGAGGCCCAGGTAACGGTCGTTATTGATCATGATATCAATAAATACATCTATCAACTACAAACTATTGAGCCGCGCACGCCGCTCATTTGTATTTCATAATCCTTATCGGTAACAAAACTAAAACCGAACTTTCGCTGGTGGTTCTCACATTAATTTTTTGTATTAAATCTGTATTATTATGAATGATGAATGATTTTTTTACTTCGCGCTATGTATAATATTTTCGATTGTGTTAATGGTTAATGAAAAATTAACAATTAAGCTTGAGATCTTTAAGGTAAAGTACACTACAATGTTAATGTACCAAAGATTACCCTTGCAAGTGATAGTTTCGAAATCTCTTTATTGGGACTCATTCAAGAATTGATAATCAGTTTTCGTAAACGGATATGGGATAGTATATTTTATATTGGTACCAGATACAAGGTATCTGGTACGGAGAGAAGGAGTCGGTGTTGTACTGTCCAAAAAGATGAAGAATACTCTCATATCATACACCCCTGTATCAGGACGGGTTATGACTGCCCGTTTACATAGCAAACACATCAACATTAGTGTTACAGTGGTATATGCTCCAACTGAGGATGCAGAGATCAGTTTAAAAGACTCATTCTACAAGGAATTGAATGATGTTCAATCGGGACTACCTGCTCATGATATAAAAATAGTTTTAGGAGATTTTAATGCTCGTGTTGGAAGGGACACTGATGCTCACCCTGGTGTTATAGGAAAACACTCATATCACACAGAATCCAATGATAACGGAAAACGGATGCTAGATTTCTGTACTATGCACCAGCTGACGATCGGAGGCACACTTTTTGAACACAAGGATATCCACAAGACAAGATGGAGATCCCCAAATGGTAACACCGTCACTCAAATTGACCATATTTGTATTTCAACGAGATGGAGCCATTCATTGCTTGATGTCAGGAGCATGAGAGGAGCAGATATAAATACTACTCACTACCTGGTAAGAGGATATGTATCTATTAAGCTTAAGTGTCCACAGAAAAGAAAGAAGCGTGTAAGACAGCCTGCTTTAGAGAACTTGCGTGATAGATCTAAGAGCCAGGAATATAGTAACAAAATAGCTGAAAAATACTATACCAACGATCAGGAGCTTGGAAACTCTCCTTTAGAAGAACAATGGAAGAAATTGAGAGGCATTATAACTGATATCTCGTTTGAAGTTCTGGGTGAAAGGGGCCGGAAAAAGAGAACAGAACATCTCTCAAAGGATACTAAGAATCTCCTAAAAGAACGAGGTGAGATTAAAAAGAAACTTAGTACTGCTGAGAATCGTGCTAAGTACTCGCAGATTAACGGTCTTGTTAGGCAGAACTGTAAAAGAGATGATAATGCCTGGGCTGTTAGAGTAGCTGAGGAATTGGAAGAGGCTGCCAAGCAGGGTCAACAAAGAGATGTTTGGCAGAAAATAAAATCCCTTACAAACAAGAGAGTAAACAGATCTGCGGCAGTGCGGGATAAGAATGGGACACTTATATCAGATCCCGAAGCTCAGTCACATCGCTGGGCTGAATATTTTGAAGAACTCTTGACGCCAGCAGCAGATGCGGTGGATTTCTCTCTATTGGATGAGGACGAAAAGGTACTTTCTTTTGAATATCTTAGTAATGATGATGAGCCACCGTCCTTGTTTGAAATTGAGGAAGCTATCAAGAAGTTGAAGAACTACAAAAGTGCTGGAATTGATGAAATTTCAATTGAGCAGTTAAAGTACGGTTCTCCTGGACTTCTGCCTTGGTTAAAAGATTTGTTTGAAACTGTATGGAAAAGTGAGGATATTCCTAGTGATTGGAGGAAAGGAATCATCACCATCATCCCAAAGAAGGGGACCTCACATATTGCAACAACAACAGAGGGATAACTCTACGCTCCACCGTATCGAAGTTATTTCAAATCGTGTTGTTAAAAAGACTAAGTAATGGGCTTGAAAAGTTACTTAGAGAAAATCAGTGTGGTTTCAGGAGAAACCGTTCTTGTATAGATCAGCTATACTCCCTTCATTGTATAATACACAATTGTATAGAATTCAACGTCCCTCTATATATAAACTTTATTGATTTTAAAGCTGCTTTTGATTCAATCAATCGTGACTTTATTTGGAAAGCTTTTGAACATTATGGTCTTCCAACAAAATACATCAATGTTTTCAAAGCGTTCTTTAGAGCAACTGAAAGTGCAGTTCGTGTCAATGGGGAATTGACAAGATGGTTTGATGTCGATTCGGGGACTGGACAAGGTGATGTGCAAGGGCCTCCCATTTTCAACCTTGTACTTAACTGGGGATTAGAACTTGCCGAGAAGTTTAAAAATATATCGCGTGGTTTTACTCTTCAGTACAGACAAAGTTCCAGACAACCGGAAAAATGTGTCATTGATTTGGACTATGCTAATGACATAGCAGGCATGGATGACACTGTCGAGGGACTGCAAGAAACAACGGACAATATTGCGAAATACTGTGGGCTTGGGGGTTTAAAGATGAACGCAAAGAAAACAGAGATCATGGTAATTGGGAAAGATACGTCGCAGCACCCACTCCCAGAGAATAGGACCATAGATATTACTGTCGATGGAAACTCTGCAAAGCAGGTCACTCAATTCACTTATTTGGGTGCCAAAATTACATCGGATGGCAAGATCGATAAAGAAATAAGTGTCAGGATTGGAAAAGCAACCGGAGCTTTTAACCAACTCAATAACATTTGGAAGAATAAGAACATAAGCATTAACAACAAAGTGCGAATCTACATCGCAGCTGTTCTTACCATTCTGACCTATGGAAGTGAGATATGGAACACGACTCAAGTGCAGACAAGAAGATTAGAGTCTTTCCATCAGTACTGCTTACGCAGAATCCTGAGAGTGAGGTGGTTCCATCGAGTAAGAAATGAAGATGTTTTAAGAAGGGCTTCAATAACTGCTCTTACTGACATAATAGCAACAAAACGGCTACGTTGGTTTGGACATGTCAGTAGAATGCCTGAAGATCGGTTACCTAACTATCTACTTGAATGGAAACCCAAGCATGGGAAACGATCAAGAGGCAGGCCTAGGAAGAGCTTAAATGATGTATTTATTGAAGATGCTGAGCAGAGATTGGATCGTAATGGACTCACGATTGATTGTATGAGAAGATTGGCTGCAGATCGAAAAGGATGGAGAAATATTACCCGCCGAAGTTGTATAATACAAAGTAATGACGCAGATGACGCAGACTAATCCTTTTGGATGGAGATCTCGCCATGTATGTATGTATGTATGTAGATACAAGGTAATAATATAGTAGAGGCTGTTACGGGCAAATATCACGCTTTTTGCTCGAGCCCTGGGACTTCTTTTAGGGTTCTTTTATGATAGAATGGAGTGTACTGAACACTCTGACGGTATCGGGAACCTTCTAGAGCCTTCAGAAGCTGTGTTGTGAGCACTTTACTGCCAAAACTTCGGACATCTACAGACACCGGAATATCGACTAAAATTTTTTTCTGAGTTGTTCCCCTAATTTCTCTTAGGTTGCTTAAGCCCCAGAAAGTGTCAGATCGTCTAAATATTGCTCCATTCCAGTGTTAGAGACCTCGAAAATTTCGACCTCATAGAACGTGTTGCGCGTCGTATGTAGTGTTTACAATGAAAAAAGTGCACTTAAATCTGATTCGGTCGCGGCGCGTGACGTATCTAGCACGATATTTGCTCAAAAGCGCGTCACTGCGCCAGAAACCTCGTGGTACCGTAACACTGTAGAAAATAGATAATCACGAGAGACACAATAAACGTATAATCACTATGCAAAGTTAATGTTAAAATGATACAATAGCCCTGCTTGAACAGATTAATCCACATTACATAAACACTATATTTCTACAGATGCCACCGATCGGTAAATCGAACATGTTTTTGAAGATAAATCTTCTTACGGAACGATAGCTGATAGAATTCGTTTCTACATTGAAAGATTTCTTACCGACATTGTCTTTCTGAAAACTGATGTGATCAGATTAAACATTGCTGGAGTTTGCAGCGTTCTCAGATAAATTAGACGTCACATAGTCATTGTACTTAAGATTCAGGTCAGACACGAGGTACAGTTCTGGTAAAACATTCTCCTGCTCCAGTTAAAAGGTCCGTACAGCGTCAATACCTGCACTCATTAATGCAGCATTGGTGTTGTCGTGCGTGGACACGTGTCTTTCCATTTTAAAACCTGCCTTAGAGACAGGTTTTAAACTTACAGCTTCAGATAATTTACCCTTCAATTGTTTCACCCTCGAGTTGCTGTACCTCAAACGACACGTTTTGTGATATCTACCTAGCTTGCTATAGAGATATTTTCCGAGACTCTCAGGGTTAAGAACAGGGCACTTGTTCATGTGTGAATCAGGATTAACATCGATGTTGCACAGATCCTGACGATTTCTGTAGATGTCCACAGATAGTATGTTGCGAAATCGACGAAGAAACTTTTATCTTTTCCTTGAATCAGACTATCCTTTTTCGTTTCTAACGTCTAGGGAAATTCGTATTGTTGAAGAAGAATAACCTCATACTCTTAAAATTAAATCGAGATAATATGTATAATAATTATATTTGCGAGCAAAAGTTTCACACAAACCTGTTCAACCTGGCATATGAAACACAAGTCTCAGTCCATTTCAAACAAATCAACATCTGGTCCACTTGATTGGGAACTAAATGAAGAAAGTCTCCACATTTTCGTAGTTCTATTCAAGGAGGCCGAGGCCAGGGGGCTGACGGACAACTAGGAACCTTTCAATTTTACCTTGTTAACTAATTAACATGCAAGCTTGGGAAATCCAATCAGCTCCGACAACTAGGAACCAATCATGACATATCCCCGACAACTAGGAACCTCTGGAGATACATTAAACATTCAGGTGTCCACCGATTTCACAGCTGTGCTGTATATATTTCTGCACTCATTAATTAAGACAAAGATTATTTTCAAGATAATGATAGTTCAAACCCAACATAATAATTACATACAGAATACATTACTCAATATCAATCTCATGGCCAAAGTATTTGGCAATCTCAAACAGATAGTCAACCTTGCTAGAGCAATCCGAGTATTTGGAACAGATCTGGAACAACTGGTCATTGGAAGTTTTCCTTCTAATCCTTTTCTTAGACGGAGTTTTTCCAACACCCAGTCGATCGATATGGTAATCAATGATCACCTGCTGCTCCCGAATAGCACGGAAGTACTCTTGCACGGTCGGCTTAGGTCGATTCACCTTGGATTTAAATCCACGATGAAAACCCTCGACCATGTGAGAGGTCCGGGGAAACTCCGGATCCTCCAACGTCTTGGAATAGTGATTCCAGAACGTCAAAGGAAACTTGGGAGGAACCCTTTCGTCACTGTCGACAGTTACTGACCCAAGGTAGATTTTCTCGAAATAATTTACCACAACCATTAACTGAGGATAGTTAGCTTGGATGTAGTATGTTATTTGGAGTAGATGTACCCGAGTAGATGTACCCGTCCGTCATCCGTGTCCACCAGCTGTTGAGATCCTCTCTGTCCTTAGATGAATTTGGAGAAAGCAGGCATGTTGAATTGAAACCGATACTCTTCATGTTCTCGTTTCAGTATATATACCAGAAGTGCGGTTGTATATTAACAGCTGATCAACTCTCGCACTTGTGATTGTATGTCTCGTATCACTCCCATTGCATGCTCAGCTCACATCCTTGGATACGAGAACCAGCCCCTTTCGGACCCGGCTCACATCCGTAATGTGAACACATACCGAGAGCTCAAACTTCATAATACACAGCTACTTACTAAACTGTCATGTGAACCCTACCCAGGTTCTTGGTTGTCCGGCTGTTAGGATGGTTATAATATGGATCACATCACAAATGATACGTCACTGATTGGGCCATGTGATGTGATACCTGTGGGAGGCCGAAATGAGAGGTTCCTAGTTGTCGGTCACCGGCCGAGGGTGACAAAGGCGGGACTTTTTCCACTTGGATGGCAATAGCTTCTTCAATCTTCATCACAAGAGGATTCGTCAATTTCAGAAACAGCACTGTACACCTGCAAATACTTTATTACTTCCCACATTTTGACAATTATATCAACAGTATCATATCACATAAGTTTGAGATCGTACAAGTGTTATTTTTTTAAATCTCAACACTTATTTTACTTCGGACATTCCAACAGCCACATTGTTACACAAGTGTGTAACCAGCCAATTACAGGAAGCCGAAGGATTCAATTATACATTAGGCCAGTGACGGTTAAGGTAGTGTATACCATACTTTCTTCGCCCGAGACTTTGCTGCAATGGGCAGCTCCTCATTTAACCCTCACACCCGATTTCTCGAGTATTTGGTTGAGTGGACCGGGGGGCTGCATAGACCACTCAGGATCCTTAGCTGAGCGTCGACGACGCTCACCCCACGGCTAGTGACAGAGTCGGGAATCGAACCTGGTACCTCAAGCAATACCAGGCGGATTAACCAACTGAGCCACTAAGCCTATCATTTTAAAAGTTTGCAAATCCGATAGAAATGGATTAAAAATTACTACTCGCTGTCTATTTAACTTTGAATAATAATTTTTTTAAATGTTAGTAAAACAGGAGGAAACCACTCACCCTGTTATAGTTGTCTTTTACATAGTTAAGACACTGAATACACAAAAAAGAGGTTTGCTTTGGTGAGCACAACCCAGGATTGATCTTCTGCAGCAGGGCGAGGAATTCTCTAGACTGTTTTGTCATTCGTTCACTTTCAGAGCGGAAGAAAACTGTTTCATTAAAATCCTTTATTTCTATTCGGGTACAGATACAGCACTCTGAAAATTGATGAATGATCACATTTTTGTATACCCTACGGCAAAGTCTTATGTCTGTGGTAAAAGAATGATATTCTTTAAATAGTTTTTTATTAAAGCCTAAACTTAACTTCTACCAATTCAAAATTGTTTACGTCGGTCTCCCCTCCTTGAGCCACTTTCACATAGCTATTGAGTATAAATCACTCTAGCACAAGCGACTTCAAACCCCCTCCCCTAGGCTGGTTTAGGTTATATGTGAACTGTGCTCTAGTGCATGACTGACTTTACATAATGCAGAGCATGCAAATTTTTGATGTTTCATAAACTTATGAATAAAGTTTTAAAAATCGTGACATAAAAAGCAGTGGTCGCCCGGTGCCCCGGCCAAAATCACAACCCCCAGCCCTTCCCGGCCCCGGCCAAAAATTGGCAATTCGCCGGGGGTAAACACCGGCCCCGGCCAATAAATTTAACCCCGGCCAATTCTCAGTGGTCAGCCCCAGCCCCGGCTATATTGGGGCTCCCCGGCCCCGGTCAGAATCCTGCCCCCGGTCGACCACTGATAAAAAGTTAACTCACTGGATTTGTCCAAAAGCGAGAGAAAGTACTGAGAAAGCACTTATACGTCACCACCAGAGGGCCTAGAGAGGTTATCTTTGTCTGTTTAATTGAATATTGAGTATTATATAATATGAGATTTAAGATGAACATGATAGATATAACGTCCAAATTCTAAAGTTCCACCAAAATTGAGTCACATTAAACTTGGTTAACACAACAATTTTCTTCATTATAGTAGGTGATTTGACATAATGAAGTGTAAACTAAATTATTATTTATAATAATTACCTGTCGGAGGGATTTAAGTGTTCCTTTGAACAGTCCTTTCCTGGAAGGTTGAGAGCTTTCAATACATCCAGAGAGCCAAATTGGATTTGTTCTTCTTTCGGGCATATGCAGTCTTTGATATGATGCCTTGTACATTTTGAAACCCTGCAGTTATCATTATTCAATACTTATAGAGCCTTAGATAAGGGGTTAGGGGTCGTTCACATAATATTGTGTAATTGCAATATAGTAAGGTTACTGTACATTTCCAACCCTTTGTCATGTATATCACAACAGATGATGTTAAAAGCATAATAATATTATGATACAGTTTTACAGTTTTTGTTACGTGTTGATAATCTAGCTCTTATCTCTATTTTATCGCTACATTACAACTGCCATTTTGCTGGTACTGTGTTTTTACTTTATACAAGTACAAGTAAACGATGGAGGAAATGGACACTCTTCAAAGATTGTCAGTTTATTCTACCTACATTACTGAAGAGTATGAGGTCTATAACGGTTGGATCACTGAACTCGCGGAAGCTACGAACCGTGACAATAAATCTGAGTTTTCAGTTGAAACGTTCAAAAAGCCAGTGAAGTCATTTTCAGTAAAACATTTGTAATTTGTATTCTGCGTATCAGACTACCGATAATCAAGTAAGTACGTTTCTGGATAACAAGAAAGATATGGAGGAGTTGAAGAGCGATCTTATCCGATCGCAAAGTACTGTTATCAAGCTGCAGGCTGAACTTCTGGAAACTAAATCGAAGCAGTTGGAATCCGTGCACTCCACCGTCAAGACCGCCGTTCAAGACACTGTCCAAGCTGAGATGAACTCATACAGTCAAGCTGTGACTAAAAATGCACCTGTGCTTGCAGAAGAGAGTTTAAAAAAGGTTGTACAGAATGCTGTATCAGAAGAGGATCGCAGTAGGAATGTGCTCATCTTTGGTTTGAAGGAGACTGATGAAGAGGAACTGTGCAATAAAGTTACCGTGATTTTTCAGCAGATTGAAGAAAAACCACGTTTTGAAGCTATCTGGGTTGGGAGAAAATCAGCCAACAAGACGAGACCAGTCAAAGTTTCGCTAGGTAATTCTAACTTACCGTTCATGAGATATTAGTAAATGCCAAAAAGCTGAGACTGTGTGAAGATCATAAGACTGTTTTCATCTCTCCAGATCGATCACCTGAAGATCGAGCTATCCATCAGCGGTTGGTCTTGGAAATGAAACAGATAGCCAAAGCAGGCATGGCTCCACCGTGTAGGTTCGGGTGGGTGCGCACCCACCCAAAGGATGTTGCACCCACCCAAACGATTTGAAAATGTTCACACAAAAATTGTCAAATTTTGTATAAACTAAGGGTCAATTGACTTCTGTTATCAATTGAGACTGTTTTGGAGATACTAAAATACGTTTAGGAGAGTAAAATTCCAAAATTTTCCAGGGGGCTTCACCCCCCCCCCCCCCCCCCCGCCGTGCGCCAAGCTGCACCCACCCAAAGTTTTTGAGCTGGAGCCATGCCTGAGCCAAAGAAGACACAAAAAAACATTATTATATCAGAAGTGGTAATATTTGTACTGCCCACCGCTAGAAAGTCGAGAACCCAGGAACCAGGTTCTTAGCAAAATCTTGCCTAAAATAATGTTTGAATCTTCATTTTAACGGTTTTTTGCTCAATTTGCCACCTTTCACCTGCACTACTAAGATAAATGTCAGAAATCACTTCACACGTGGTTTAAAAAAATTGGAAAAAAATTTAATTTTGAAACTTTTTTGTGGAAAACGCGACAGACATATCGATATTAAGTATCAACTTTGGCGCAAAAACGCGCATCAGGTTCCTGATGCGCGTCAAGCCGCCAAGA